GATTCTGTTGCTAGCCCATTTTCAGAAACCTATCTTGGCGAGTAGCCTTGAATGTGCAGCGGCAGAGAACTGTCTAGGGCTCGCTATGAACTACTGAGCACCAGTCGTTGTAAGGGAGCGCTTCTGAAACTTACTGTCTGGGGGTGCAAAATTTTATTCATAAAATTATCTAAAGAATTAAGGTATCAGAAATTAATTAGGATTGGAGTCAAGAATAAAAAAATATACTAAGCTATTGCTAGAACTGGAAATTACGCGCAGAAAGAATACCAAGTCAAGTGGATACAGATCCATTGGTAATCCCAGGGAATAGACGGATGGGATATGAAACCGGAAGAGGCATAGTCTATCTATGGAGGGGGAGAAGGAGGAGGAAAAGAAATTATTGTCTTTTTGATGTAATTTCCGATGTTTTGATTTCACTTACATGTCATTCTAATTTGGAACATAGATGGCAAGCAAACCAAACGCTAGGTTTTAGTAAACAAACTAGATATATAAATTTTAAGGATTCTGGCTCTCTCGAGAGGGAAAGAAACAACGAATGCCCAGTTTACGGCGTTCTCAGATCTCAAGAACTCACAGATGTTTTATTTGATAGAATGAAGATAATTTAACGTATAATACAAGAGGTAAGGGTAAAGTTATCCCTGTGCTAACCTAATTAAACCCTTCGCCATGAAGACGTATAGTGTAGCGGATGTATATATCCACGTTTTCTTGACCTTGGCATTAGCTGGAGGTGAGTGGTCAGCTTCACGCCCCGGCCGCTTTACTCTGGGGAAAGCCCCCGGCATCCATTCGATATGAGGTTGGGTGGACACCAGAACCGGTCTGCACAACATGGAGAAAAGAAAATTCTTGACCGTACCGGGACTCGAACAACGATCCCTCGGTCGTCCAGCCTGTAGCCAGTCGCTATACCGACTCCTACTAGTATAATAAAAGATGGCATATGAATTTTACATCACCAGGTAAAAAGAGGCAACAATGTAAAGTGGCACATGGAGGATTAAAAAAAGAAACTATATTTTAAGGAGTCTTTGTTTGTTATGAAATGGGATTTTCTTCTGCTAAAATGCTGATTGCGAAAATAAGAGTATTTGTATTGTTCTAAGGTGGTGAGACGTCAAGATTAAGAATCCTGAACGCAAGAGGCAATGATGGTGCAGAAAGCTGCCAATAAGACGCTGCGGCACTTCGGTTGAGAGGGAAATGCTCTTAATACTACGTGCATGGGATGTGTAATTAGTAAATGAAGCGCAGGGGAATGTCAGTCACTCTCGCGAAGGCTGCTGGAAGATTGATATAGGGTCAGGTGGCCCCGCTGATAAAGGTCGTATGTTCATAACACGTCATAAAGGATCAGCTGATGAGGGTTTATTCCCGAAAAATAAATTAATTTTTCAGTGAAAATGAGGACGTGGTATTGATTACCATGGGGAAATAAAAGCCAAATTATGGGCAGGATCTGAGGTCCTCACAGCGGTAGTTATACTTCTAACGTATTCCTTTGAAATTCGACTGACGTTTCGGAGAGCAGAGCTCGCTATCCGCTTCATGCTGGTTTCTTACTTGGTTTATTCTTCGACCCTAAAGATGGAGGCGAATTTGTCCTCCGAAACGTCGATTGAATCTCAACGGGCAACAAGACGTTACATCCCAGAAGATGGAACAGTTCATATAGAAAGTGTTCGGAAACAGTACTGCAATACGGGGCAGATCAGTGTCACGAAATTGCGGAGGGAATTAAGAACACGTGAAGATTAGGTTCTGTTAACACTGACTGATAAAAGTGACGCTGAACTTCCTGCACGGAAAGGTTTCGGAAGACCTATACAGTAAGCCGTGAGCTATCGACCAGCCCGACATCTGCCGCATGAAATACCAACCGAGCAAGAAAGTCTCTTTGTAATCTTTCTTGGGCGTTTATCAAAGTGGACAGCTGAGACGGAGATATGGCGCTCCAGTGTTTTTGAATTGAACTAGACATTAAAAGAATCATAAATCAAGCTCAAGCATAGGACAATCCTCAAAAAAATACGTACTCTGTAAATCTGAGATTTTCAGAGCGGTTGTTTTCAAGACTTCTCTTCTGGGACTTAACGCCGTGTAGTCCGTTGAAAGCCTGATTCATGCTCCTTTTTTACTTTGTTCATTCCTCGACCTTGAAGATGGAGCCGACATGTTTCTCCGAAACGTAGGCAGAGTTTAACGGACTACACTGCGATTTATACCAGAATACAAAACTCTTCAAGTACAGAAGTATAGGGGGAGTTATTTCATAAACTATAGGCACAATCAGCTTAGCCGTTTTAGCCTGACTGGCATATTCCGCTTTTATGCGAAATTAGTTTTTCCATTTCTTTCTAGGTAGTCCGATTTTCCTGTACACTCTTGGATAATATTCCCAAGCTNGCGGTTGCTCTAAAAGTTTGGTATAGTACCTTAATTCTTTCAAAGCTTGAGTACGTAATTGTCGTCTGGAATGACCTTACATTAGCAGATTCAAATAAGCTGTAAAACATAAAAAAAACTTGCAAATTTCTGCTATAATCGACTTAATTAGCCAAAATCCTTCCATAATTATGAATCAAAGTTGAATTATTTATATATAAAAACGCTTTATTCCAGGCGACAAAATCTTGATACTTTATTTCTCATTAACATTTGCGAGGACAACATTGACCGTTGTTCTGTTATGGAGAATGTTGGTCTCCGTGTACCCATTAAGTAAATTAGAAACTTCTCTCGCCTTTAACGTCAATAACGTCTCAAGACTTAGCCCTTCAGCAAGGTGGGTCACGGCTGCAAACAACATCTGCAAATCTCTGTACGTTTCTAATAAACACAACACCTCCCTTAAGGATACATTTTCTTTTGTTTAATCCTACCGAGTCTCATCACTATCGTGTAACCTGTATTATTTCATCGCCTAGTACTGAATTTAGTCTACTTCTAGCTCTAGCCTTAGTCTAGTCTTTGTTACATACAGTTTCAGTGCTCGCCTGTTATAGGCCACTCGCTGTTGGGAAGCACTTAAATAAAGGAAGTGAACTGAATCAGCAGCAAAATCACTAATTCTGTGCCAATGTTAATAGTAACCAGCTACGGTCGGACAGACTGCACTGGGAACAAGAATTCCTTCATCGCTAACGCGTCCAGATCGGTTCTGAGACACATTCGACTGCGCATCCATTGCGCACTTACTCCTGAGCAATTTAATACAGTATGACTGTAGGTCCCACTATTAATTGTTAGTAGACTTGAATGAAAATAAGTCGCTGATCGATATATGTATTAAGTAAGTCTCCCTGACTAACTTACTTACTTATGGAGCTGAGCCCTTCTGGAGGAGCCGCCAATTCTGCAGCTACTCAAGAATTTCCCAGCATTTCATGGAACCCGAAGTTTCATTACCGTGTTCACAAGATCCCTCCAGTAGTCCCTATCCTGAGCCAGATATATCCAATCCATACAATCCCATCCTATCTCTTTAAGATCCATTTTAATACTGTCCACCCACCTACGCCTTGGTCTTACCAGTGGTCTCTTTCCTTCTGGCTTTCGCACCAATATCCTATACGCATTCCTCGTCTTCCCCATTCGTGCTACATGACCTGCTCACCTCATCCTACTTGACTTGATCATTCTAATTATACTTGGAGAAGAGTACAAGTTATGAAGCTCCTCATTATGCAGTTTTCTCCAACCTCCCGTCACTTCATCTCTCTTCAGTCCAAATATTCTCCTTAACACCCTATTCTCAAACACCCTCAGTCTATGTTCCTCCCTTAATGTCAGAGACCAAGTTTCACACCCATACAGAACCACAGGCAAAATTATAGTTTTGTATATTCTAATTTTTATGTTTTTGGAGAGCAGACGAGAAGGCAAAAGGTTCTGGACTGAATGGTAGCAAGAATTACCCGAGTTCAATCGCTTCTTAATTTCCTCCTGAATCAGGTTTCGATCTGTTATCGTTGTTCCCAAATATGTGAACTTGCCACATTTTCAAAACATCTGTTTCCTATATTTATGTCATGATTTTGCCCTGCATTTTGGTGACGAGACAGTAACATATACTTGGTTTTCTCCGTGTTTACTTCTAGACCATTAAAGTTTGTGTGTTTTCTTTATGGCATCTACATTATCACCCAGTAGATTCACATCATCGGCGTAGACCAACAGATGATGTGTCCCGTTTAATTTCAGTCCTACCTGGTTTCCCTGGACCTTCCTAATTGCATATTCTAAAGCAAAGTTGAAAAGGAGTGGCGATAAAGCATCTCCTTGTCTTAGACCATTCTGGATAGGAAATTTATCAGACGAATGTTTACCTATATGGACTTTACTATACGTTTCGTTTAAACACATTTTAATCAGCTTAACTAGTTTCATGGGTATCCCAAACTCTATCAGAATACTGTACAATACTTCCCTCCTAGCTGAATCATAGGCTTTCTTGAAGTCTACAAATAGCTGATGTACTGTCTCATTGTACTCGAATTTTTTCTCCAATATCTGACGAATGCAAAAGATCTGATCTATAGTTGATCTGTTACGTCGAAACTCGCACTGATGGTCCCCAATAATTTCATCTATGTATGGACTTAATCTTGAGAGAAGAATGTTGGATAAGATTTTGTATTTGATTTTGAATTTGATAGCAGTGATATCCCCCGATAATTTCTACAGTCACTTCTATCGCCCTTCTTGTGAACTGGAACAATAATAATGTAGATTCCTTCCATTGATCAGGCAATTTCCCCTTATTCCAAATAGAAGTAATTAGCTTATGGATCTTGGAACGTAATATTTCGCCTCCTGCAAGTCTCCCTGACAGGGTAAATTATTTTCTTAGCAGAATACTAAATTATAGACAGTTAATTTTTAGCATAAGCTCGAGTTTACAATCAGTTTCTAAGTTTAACATGAATGTGCAGTTAATAGTTAAATCATACTATGCTAAAGTGCGATGAGAAGTTCTGTACACTCACCGGTTTGAGGGTGAGAGGTCTGTACGAACACTTCTGGAAGCGGCGACCCCTCATCGACGTTCGAGGATCGTAAACGTTGAGATACTGCATGTGCGCTGTCCTGGCGCTGCTACCGTCCAGCCTGCTGCCAAACCCACTCATTGTGAGGCCTTCGGGGTGTCAGTGTGCCTGTCCTATCTCTCCATCTGCTAAGCGGCCCTGTTTAAGGATTCATGTCATGTGCTGTTAAGTTCTTCCTTTCAACCGCGAACACTGATGGACTTACTGCCTGTTGCCACTTTGCTCCCCATTTCACTCATTCATCTCTTTGAAAGAGTGTCTGTGATGGAACTGTGTCGTGATAATCACTTGGGATTTGAGAACTCGATGTGAAATCACTCTTGTCGGCACTCAGTAATCACTGCACTTAACGGGTCTCAGTAAGACATGTCTGTGCGCCGTACTGTACGCATGTTTTTAACAGTTCACTATTTACCTTCCAATGTTTTAGTATTTCGTGTAAATTTTATCACAGGCTGTCCATGAAAGCGTACAAACATTCCAGTTCTAAACTACTCTTAATATGATGAAATATGTTAAGAAGTTAAATACAGTCCTTGTGGTAGATGCAAAGTCTATTAGCGAAAATAATGCTATGCATATTATTAAACAACAGTCCAAAGAAATCAATGTCTACAAAAATTTGTTGGTCGATCATACGTGCGTGTGATATGTCAAGTTACAGAATGAAATGTACTCTCCGATTCTGGAAATTATAACCGATCCCAAACACAGACTGTTCTCTGTTCTTTGTACGAGTATTCAGAAACCTTCTCGAATTTACATCGCTTCATTCCTGCAAAAATGATTTAATACGTATTACTGAAGTGAGTAACAGATGGGATGTTTTACAGTGCTTTGAGAAGTTATTAATCCCGATAAACCGCCTGTTAATTGCGTCATAAATTAAAGGGGAAAGTGCTGATTTATGGGTCTTTTACGATTAAAATCTTAAGGTCCGATGCACATATATAATATTTATGACTTTTTGCATTGCCTTTATCGAACACGATACTGCAAATCTGAACTCACATTATACTACAAGAGAAAGTATCTACTGAACAAGGAGATGTGATTTGCGCTCGTTAGGACGCCAGTTCCCAGATGTCTAACATAAAACATTTAGGGCGAGGGCACGCCAAGGAAACTGGCAACTGCAACGCAACCGCAAATTTCCGAGAATTGTTATCAGCCTCAGTAATTTTCTCAAATTTCGCTGCTACATTCAGTAACATATGTTCAACTGAGTCTGATAACAATTCTCGGAAATTGCGGTTGCGTTGCAGTTGCCAGTTTCCTTGGTGTGCTCTCGCTCTTACTGTTCTAGCTCACGTTCTGAGGAGTGTCGGTAGTAGGCAGCAACATGCCTCTCTCTCTCTCTCTCTCTCTCTGAAAGAAGGTTATGGCTTATTTTCAGCTTTGTGAAGAAGGCGAATATCAATTTGTAGACAGAAGCAGAAACGTGCAATGTAAGATTCGAAGTCTGGATGTTAATATTTTACATCTTACAAACATGGAAACGGTAGCAAGTATTGTAGCGAAATTTCAAAATGAAAGACAAAACAAATAAGAAAGGCATTAAAAGAACATTAAATTCTGAATAATTTTATATTACTTGCTTGAGAATCTTACACTTATCTCAGAACATAATATTAAAATACTTGCACTTCTTTCTATGAGTATGAAACTTGACCTCTACAGATAAAAAGTTTCTCATACAAGCAGGGAGCGTTTCGACTTAATCATCAACGTATCATGGAAATTCTTGATCATGTTTAGGAACGTATGAAGACAGCGCATTGGTTTGAGGAATGAATTCGTCTTTGATAAAGGCGTTACAATATTAAGGAGCTTTACCAGTTCCTCTGATTACTATAGTTACTAATGCGCTTAATATGATTATCATGGTTACTATTGGTTACTTTGGCTATTACTGTTTGGAAATGGGTGCATCAACACACCCAGCTCAGAATTTCGTTTGCTCTCCACGATGGTATTATAGATTCCAGGGAATTAAAGGTTTCAAGTTTGGGGTAGGTGGCAGCGGAGTAGCTTCCAAATCAAATCCCGTTTAGCTGTTCTTGACAAAAATAGTTCAGACTGGCAGATAGACAAATGCATCCGCTCTGTACGATCTCATTTGGAGCACTGGATATTGAAGAAACGAATGTGAGAATTTAACTTACAGACTCAGAATGGGATCCACTAGTTGCCCTTCATGATCACGGGTCTCAAAAAGCAGGTCATTAACTATCGACTTTCCCCGGAAAATTCTGTGCCATATATAGGTGAAGACGCAGATGATGGTTAGATATTAGGAATTAGCGTGGATGTTGAACCGGACAATGTCACAGTTATCGCAAGAGCAGAGAGACGTCAGTGGTGCAAACAGCTCCCGGAAAGCTGCAGCCTGAAGGAATTGCGACTGGATTTGTAAAATTGAAGGAACTCGAAGCAAAAATGCAACTTTTCAAGAACTGTCTCTGTCTCCATCTTCAGGGAATTTTGTCACTAGTTGGAAACGGCATTACTCCTTGTTTATGGAGACGAAAACTATATCCGAAACGTTGGACACTTCCTTCGAACTCACAGAGCTGGTCGTCCAAGAGGGTCCTGCAACTACTAAGCTTCGCGTCAAAATTTTCGGGGATCTTCATTATAAAACGATGTCAGTTAATGGGAATTATATTATGTTTTGGTCGAGAGAAAGACTGTTTACGAAATGTTGGACATTTGCTTTGAATTGACACAGCGGACTACCAAAAAGTTTTCTAATAATTAACCTCCATGAGGCTTCAATCTTATATATATTTTATACTTCTGAACACACTAAATCAATTTTACGTGCTTTAAAGAAAATGATCTCCTCAGTGATCACATTAATGTTCGAGTTATATGGCACAGACCAATAGCCCCTTTTCTTCATAGATGACCACATGGGCACACAAGAATATGACGGTGATGGAAAGCGTGTAAATTTCCACATGTCACCTTGTGACAGCCACGATCCTGTTCAGAGAGAGAAGGGAAATTTCAGAGTCGTGATTCAGTGTTAGACATGTACAGTTAGCTGCAGAAAGGTAAAATACTTCTGTATAGGCCAAAGCACGAGCTGAAATAGCCTGAGAGATACATCACGGTTTTGATTCGTCTCTATGCAGATTCTGAGGTGGCTCCCTAAAATGTGCCATGACTACTTTCCTAAAATATTTGTTCCACATTATTGCCCACAATTATATTTATAAGTCACATGAGGAGCTGTGATGGCGCAATCGGTATAGCGACTAGCTATGGGCTGGACGGCCGAGACGTCGGAGTTCGAGTCCTGGTAGGGTCAAGAATTTTCTCTTCTCCACGTTATACAGACAGGCTCTGCGGCCCACCCAGCCTCCTGTCCAGTATGCACCGGGGACTATTTCTCGGGAAGTAAAGCGGCCGGGTCGTGAAGCTCACCGCTCACCTCTAGCTTTTACCGACGTCAAGAAAATATGGACCTATACACCCAGTCCACCATAATTCGTGGCGTAGTGCTCAATTAGTTAAGCACACGGACAACTTTGCCTTTATCCTACTAAGTTACTTATGTTGTTGAAAAATTGCCGTTAAATAAAGAAAGAACATAAAAGTAACATCTCAAGAAATTTGTAGGAATAGGATGTCACCTCGTTCACCAGCAATGTTTCTGAAGGGATTATGTCATCACCTTGCCAATAAGAACTGCAGGATCCATACTGACTCCTGACTAATCGCGGTTTCCGTGAAAAACTAAGATTTTCTTACATATCCTATATGCAGTGTTCTTAGACGTCAGCCAGGCCTTCGTCAGGGTGCGGCATAGTGATCTGCTATAAAGATCAAACAAATCCTTCCACCATCATATTTTAATCTTCTTAAATCCGACTGAAGTGACCGACAGTTCCAAATAAGAGTGGGAAACGCAGAATCTGAAGCACAACCGATAAAAGCAGACGTGCCACAGGGCAGTGTCCTTCGTCCAACTTTATACAGTTTATCTTCCTCAAATATAACTCTTGGAACATTTGCCGATGATATAACTATATTGTCAGTTAACAAGGACCCAGAAAGAGCAGCAACAGACCTTCAGCATCACCTTAGTACATTATAAAATTGGTTCGAGAAGTGGCGCATCAGAATAAATGAAAACAAGACTTGCTACATAACTTTCACCCTACGGAAAAAGCCGACACCTGACATATACATCAATGATATCCCAATACCATGCAAAGCAGAAATAAAATACCTAGGTATGACTATAGACAGCAAATTAACATGGAAGCAGTATATAGTCAAGAAACGAAAACAAGTAGACTTAACCATTAAACAGTTAAACTGGCTAATAGGTAAAAAATCAAAGCTAACAGTTGAGAATAAAATTCTGATCTATAAGACTATAATCATATCTATTTGGACGTACGGCCTGGAACTATGGGGCTGCGCCAGCAAATCCAAAACAGCAACAATCCAAAGAAGCCAATCTAAGATCCCGCGAATGAGAGTCGACGCACCACGGTATGTCTCCAACGCAACTCTCCACACCGATCTCGGTATATCTTCCGTACAAGACGTCATCCAACAGAAAAGCAACAGACATCACAACAAAATCATGTCTCACAAAAACCCACTGCTAAAGACGCTGTCGACAAGAGAAGACAACAGAAGACTCAAACTAAACTGGCCAATTGAACTGATTTGAATTCCTGAGGATTCGCAGCTGGGCGACTCCTCATCAAGTCATCTAAACAGTCATAACATTAGCTTGCAGAATGTATATTCGTACAGCCGACCAAATAAATAAATAAATAAATAAATAGCAAATATCCTATATGCAACGCAAAAAAAAAAAGGAAATAAACTTACAAGTTAACAATTCTGGTGCAGCAGCTTGTTTCCCTTTAGTTACTTCTGAAGCCACAAATGTTTATTAGAAAGTTTACTTGACACAAACTTTTGTTTCTGTACAACTGCTATTCTCAGAGTTTTTCGACTCGATAACTATTGGGCGAGCTATGAGCGAATTTCAGTCGAGATACGCGCAGAAACGCATCGCTATTGTTCTCCGATTTAAATTATACTGAAATATGTAGACAAAGTTAAGTGAAACTCTCTAATACCAAACTTCATTTCATTTAGCAGTTCTTGTATTGCGGTCTATTGTATGCAGATGGATACAAACTGATACGCAGAAGCTATTGTGGGTATTAATGCAGCCGCACCAATAATTAGGTCTTAATCCCTGAAGCAATGCGTCTTTATATAGTTCAAACTTGAAATAAAAGAATGATTTTCATTACCACTATTAGTTTTATTTTGACTGCTAAAAATCCGAGCTTAAAACTTTCCAAATAATGAAAGAATAGTTTGTTGAACCTAACATTCACAGTAGAGTTTATCTTTTATTATATTCTTAGTTCTGTGTTCGAAACAACTAATCCTTGAAGAATGCAGTCTTCTGGAATGTGACGCTATTTAGATATTGTGCAAACCGACATTTCGGAGGAACGCACCGCCTCCATCTTCAGGATATAATCAAATTTTTTATAACCTAAAGATGGAGATGAAACGTTCCTCCGAAACGTCGGTTTACACAATACCTACATGGCGCCACATCTAATAAGACGGCTTTCCTCATAGTCACAGCCGTGAAAACCTCAAATCTTACAACTAATCCTTGTTGCCTACTTTGTTGTTCCTGTTAAATGTGAATAGCAAGCTCTCATATGGTCACTAAAACTTTCTTGGAGCTTCAAGTAAGAAAATAAGTTTCAGCGCGGTACT